AACTAAAAGGGAAAGGAATACTAAATTCTTCCACATGATGGTGAGCAGAAGAAAGGTAAAAAATCATATTAGATTTTGATATGAATTCAAGTAGTATTTGGATTTGTAGATTTATATTTGTATTTTAGATTTAAAATCTCATATTTCAAATTCATATATTTTGAATTCTTTGTTTGAGTAGTTTAAATAACAAAGATTATTACTATTCAGTAGTGTTTCGAAGGTGTAAATGAAGATTTGAAATAACAAGGATTTATAAATGATTTTAAACTATGAAGGAATCAAAATAACATTTGAATTTAGATTTTATTCTAATCCATAAATTTGTAAGTCCCCAAATAAGAAATTTGGCTCAAATCTAAATTCAAATCTATATGTATCCAAACACATCATCATTGTTCTTAGATTTTGAGTTGGCAAGATATTTTGTTGAAGGAAAAGTAGATTCTTGGCATGAGGTATATGGAAAAATTAGAATGTTTTACAATTCTAATGAAGATCAGGATAAAAAATATCAAGTTGGCTTAGAGATTATTTGTGTTTTAAAGTCCCAAAATCATAGAATGAGAAATTGGAGTTCTTGCATGGCTTGGGCTTTGGAGAGAATGCTTTAACTATAGATATTGTAGCTGGCTTGCATGGCACTGGTTGGAAGTCAGAGAAAAGATTTGAATTCCTTCTACATTTAGGGTTTGAATTCTCAAAGCTATGTATCATGGTAAAAAAAAAATACACACAAAATTCTAGATCAAAAATCTAAATTTACAGATGAGATGGTGAAATTCTTCAGTCTCAAGAAATGGGAATCCCTTCACAGTGTTTGACACATATGGCAACAGTTTTGTTTTAAATAAAAGGGTCTGCTAGGAAAAAAGTATTCTATCATAACTATGATTGCATGCAGCAACAATGGTTTTGTATATTTTGCCTGTGAAATTCACCCAGCTGATTGGCTTTGTACATTTCTTCATTTGCTACTTCATATGTAAATGGGAGTTACAGTAACATTGAAGACAAACTATGACATAACATATAGTATGTTCTACTTAAAATCGATAATTTTAACTAAACACAACAAACTAGCGTGGATAAATCTAAAAAAATTTTAAGATCGATCAGGCTTGGAAGTTAAGAAAGATTTTATTTATTTCAAAATTATTTGAGTCGCCTGAATAAGTCCGGGCTAAACCAAAACCAAATAGACTTAATCTAAATACTTGAATTCTTTTTATTATTATTGATAAAATGAAATTAATATTTACTTTAGCTTTCACATACCCTCTTAATGAAATTTTAATATTCTAATAACTGTTTCTTTTAATATTTTGAAAATATTAAGATATAATAAACATAAGAGGTTATTTCATATGCTTTCATTTTCATTCTTTCAATGCTTGGTCTCGCTTTAATAAGGATAGAAAAAAAAAAGTTCCATTGCAGAGTTATATTGCTTGAAACAAAATTAATTTTTGAAGATAAAAATTAAAATTGGTTAAAAAAGAAATGATAAAATAAAATAATATTTAACAATTTGTGTATTTAGGTCAGCTTGAATAAGTTCAAAAGCCTGAGGTGTATAATATGAGTTTTTTGTTATATGTTTAGGTATTTTAAATTCAATTTAAATAAGTCTGACTCATCTAAATTACCAATTCTGGACAAAATTATTAAGAAGGAACATGGAATATCTTATATATCTTGCATTAATAGATTTCCTTGGAGAAGATACTTGGAGCTTGGATTTTTGAGACATACTAAACCCCTAATGATGTGAATCCTTTCCTTCTTCAAACTGATTATATCAGAGGTAAGCTAGGTAGGCCATTTGTAATTTATGTCATATTTTAATGCGAATATGTTGCTTCTTTCATATTTTAATGTGAACATCTTGCTTCTTTCATATTTTAATGTGAACATCTTGCTTCTTTCATATTCTTAGATCTTAATTGTCCATATATGATGGAAAAGTTGGGCAGATTATATATTTCTTGTTATGTTGTTGACTACTGATGTGGAAGTGTCTCTTCTCTTTTTTAGTTTTTAAATTCTTATCCCTTATGTCTGGGTATAAAATAGTAGTAACAGGACCTAAATTTGAGAAGAAAAAGGCAAGTAAAATATTTATTGGTTTGGGAAATTATTTTAGGAGCATGCTTTTGTCTTCAACACTGATGAAAGCAGTTATCCACTTATTGATCAAATTTAGGAGAGTAATACAAGCTTGATAAAAACTCCACAGCTTCAGTTGCTTATTTAACATAGTTGGTATTTTACCTTAATTACATATACATTTTTTTCTATTTTTGAAACATAAACGAACCTCTTTGAATATGAATAACTATAAAACACAAACATCTCATATATTTTTAAAATTTCATTTCTATCCATCCAACCATTAGTTAATTGTTAGGTCATATCTATTGGACTAAAATACTCCTCTTTGAATATAAATATTATTTAAAAATAATTCAACTTACCCAAAAAATTTTAAGCATGTATGTTTTAATTTTTTATTTATATTTTAAATTTTTTAATTATGTAAATGTATTTAGAATCTTTAATGAAATATTTCTAGCAATATTAAAGATTGGAAAGTGTAGGTTTTGAAAATAGGAGGGAGGTATTTGTTATTTCAGCAAAATGGAAAAGAGATAACTATATTTTACTCTAAATCTATTTATTTCAAATGTCTTTAATGTTTGTATAATGTTTTCTTTTAAATAATAACTCTAGTCATATCATGCTAAAGTAGAAGAATTTCATGTTGTGTCCCTCTCCTTAATGAAAGGAAAGAAACAAATAAAAAACCAAGGGGGCTTTTATTAAAAAAATAAAAAAAAGAAAGAAAAAGAAGCAGCAGAACACACAACATGTTCTGAATAATTATTTTCTTATTAAGTAGAGTAAGTTATGTGCATTTATACTGAAATAAATCAATATGAGTTAGATTATTCATGACTTGTAAATAATATACTCTTTTTTTTTTTACCTTCATCATAAGTCACATTTTAAAATATTTTTATGGTCCTTAATGCAAACAAGTCACATTACAAATTATAGAAAACATTACATATTTTTTTAATAATATTTTTCATTGGAATACCCTGTATTTAATGCCCTTCCAATAAAGCATAAGTGTGGGAAGAGAGATTAAGAGTATTTAAGAATGAAAATAATTTATTGAAAAACTATTTTAATTGTTGACAAAATTAATATTTTCTCTCGTTTAAAATATAAAAATTTTTCTTAACTAATCTTTATTTAAAATATTTTCAATTTAGTACATATAAATTTTTTTATTTTATCCCTTATGTTTATTAATCTAGATATTTATATAAACATATCTTTCACTTATCATAGAGTACATTAATAATTAGAACTAGAGGTAAAATATATATATATATATATATAATTTTATGAGAACAAGAACTTTATTAATATGTGAATTTTTTTAAAAACTACTTGTATGAGTTATATCTTAGAGAGAATGGAGTATTATTAATAACTAATTTTAACTAATGGTATGTTTGAGTTAGAGAGAAAACATTTATAACAAACTACAAGGACAATCATTTTGCATTTTTTTAATAGATATGTTAATTTTACGGATATATTTTTGTGCAATTTTTATAATTAACTTTTTTTCTTCAATTTAATTTCGCTTCATCTAATCTAAAGGGTGATGGATTGGAGGGTATTACAACTCACATCTAAAATAGTGACAGAAATGTGAGTATTAATTGATCAAGGTGAGAAATACTTCCAGGCCTAAAGGCACAGAAAAAAAAAAAAAACAGAGAGAGCTGATAAACATTAAATTTTTTTTAAGAACCAGATTGAGAAGATGATGTTATTACCAATTTTTTGGCCTGAAATGTCATTACAAATTCAATTTAAATATATCCAACTGTAGGTGACTAAAATGAGATTTTAGTTACTCAAGAAAGTTTTTTTGGCCCAAAAATAAGTTGATTTTTTTAAAAAAATTAATAATTTAGTCTTTATAGTTTGACCCAATTGTAATTCAGTTCTTAAAATTTGACTTGTTATAACTCAATCTCTAAAGTTTTAATTTAGTTGTCAGTTAGTTTCTAGATTTTGACTTTTGCAATTCGGTTCTTATAATTTTAATTACTTAAATATTGGTCCCTATATCTTAAACATAAAATTATAAATATTAAAATTATGTTAAAATTTATTACTAATATTTTAAATTACTAAACCCTTTTAATCTTTATACATATTAAAAATATTAAAATTTTAAAATATTTTTAATCTTTAAAATTTTATTTTTAAAAATATAAGGATCAATATTTAAGTGATTGAAACTATAAGGATTGAATTGCAAGAAGCAAAGTTTAAAAATTGAATTATAATCGAATTAAAATTATAAAAATTGAGTTACAATGAATCAAAATTTAAGAATAAAGTTATAATTGAGTTAAAACTACAAAGATCAAATGATTAATTTTTTTTTCTTTTTTTAAAATAAATGAAAGTTTAAATAAGTTGAATTTCTGTAGGTTACCGAGTCAAAACAAGTCTCTAGATTCAAAGAGTGCTTTTAGAGGTTCTTATAAATTGTTCACTAACAAAGTCTTCACATTAATAATAAAATTTGATTTCGTAACTTTATAAATTATGATCCAAAGTTTTATCAATTGAATGAACTTTTATTGTTTTTTTCCCCCTAAACAGAAATTGATTTTAACGCGCTAAATTTTCCCAAAAGAGGATTGGACTCTCTAGCCCAATAAAGAACGAATCAGCCTAAAAGCCCAAATTTTATTCCACTCTGAGCGTCTGGTCTTAACGAGGGCCAATTTGGTCATTCAACTACCATTTTGAAACACGATAATTGGGAACGTGGGCTTAGTAATGCGGGGGGAGTGGAAATAACCGTCTAAACTGTCACGTAGAAGAACTGAAGAGAAAGGCAAATCACAAACACTGACATTTTTCACTCAGAGAGAGAAAGAGAGAGGGATTTGCAGAGAACAATGCAAGTAAAGAAGAAGGACCAAGGGCCTATAAGGAAAGGGCCATGGAAAGCCGAGGAAGACGAGGTGCTTCTAAGTCATGTCAATAAGTATGGCCCCAGAGACTGGAGCTCCATTCGATCCAAGGGGCTTCTTCAACGCACTGGCAAGTCTTGTCGACTTCGCTGGGTCAATAAGCTTCGCCCAAACCTCAAGAAGTACCACTCATTCCTCTTCTCTATATACCTCTTTTGTTGATTTGGTGTTTGATGAAAGTTCTCTTAGAGTCTATTCAAACGACAACGCGTTAATTACTGGGGGTGTTCTGTATTGCTGCTGGGCTGATGTAGGTTTGAGTATTTAAGCTTATAGTTTAAATTATTTGATGGGCTCTTTGTTTTTGATTCAGTGGGTGCAAATTTTCTCCGGAGGAAGAGAGGGTGGTGATAGAATTGCAGGCACAGTTTGGGAACAAATGGGCCAAGATTGCGTCTTATTTGCCAGGAAGAACAGATAATGATGTCAAAAATTTCTGGAGTAGTAGGCAAAAGAGGCTTGCTAGGATTCTCCATTCGTCTTCACCATCCTCAAAATCCCACAAGAACAAGAATAAAGTCGCCACTTTACACATTAATATTCCGCCTTTGGAGGTAATTGAGGAAATTTTCTTTCTTCCTTTTTATCAAAAAGTATGATATCATAGATAGACTCATGTATTACAGCCCATTTCTTATTCCATCAAATTAAGTTTCTTTTGGATTTGAGGTTTTCCATGGATCGGAAGTCAAATGTTAGTGTTTGGGATTTCTTACAGCAATTCCTGGGTCCTTCTTATCGCAATTCTGGAATTCTAGTTCTCTTCCTTGCCTTTGCCTTCCTTTTCCAGGAATTATTCAGGAAGACATGAACATGATACAGTAATTTAATGCAACAGAATAAGATGAAGTAGTTTAAGTTGTATATTATGTCTAGCAACTACAGGACATACATTTTATATGATATAACTCCTTTCTTAAAATATTTATATTCAGTCTTCTTGAGTATGGTACTAGAAATTTGAGTGATTCCCATCAATTTATCTGCAATATTTGAATGCTATTTTGTTTGGATCACTCACTTCTGCATAGAGAGAGTCTTACTGGTTGGATGGAAATTGGTTTAGTTTCATGAGTTTCCATATCCATAAAATGCTTTTCCTGAGAGTACCCCAAGGTACACTGCAGATGACAAAATGTTTATGTTTCTTCATTACAGTTTTCTCGCAGTTTATTTTTTATTGATGAATTTGCATAAGATTTTCTTTTATTGATATGTCTGCAGGCTCCTAAATTTAGTTCATCTGAGGAAGAATCTTCATCAAAGGCTCATCAGCCATGCTCATCATCCTTTACTGAGAATTCAGAGGTTATAAAAATGGTGCCATTGCCAGATCTCATGAACTTCGCGAACCCCTTGAGTTTTGACGCAGTCACTTCGATCAAAGAAGAGTTTACGACACCGTTGGAGAGTTGCATGAGCACTGACATGATCTCACAAATTGGTTTCCCTCAGGGTTCCCCATTCTCAATGGAAAGTCAAGATCTCTTCTTGGCCAGAGCTAACGAATCTGCTGGTTTCGCTGATGGAATAGGAGTGGACCCTTTGGAAGATTATGCATCAGAACTTGGAATAGGAACACAGATTCCCTTTTATGGGTTTCCTTTCAATGATTCATCGGGAAGTTGCAGAATTGAGACAAGGAATCCAATCGGTAACCCCACAAACCTTGATAGCGTCTTTGGTGATTTTCCAGATGACATGTTTGATAACCTCCAGCCACCTCCAAGCCCATCATCACCAGAGCTATGAGCTTTGATATCTCTTCTCATTTTAAAAGATGACTGTGTGGCTGTGTGCATTCTTGTACTTCTTTACCCCCACACAAACATACACGTCACATATTTTATCAATTTAGTTATATGGTTATGTATGTAACGTTTAGTTATCATTATCTGTTCCCATTTTAAAAAAGATGGCTGTTCTTGATTTACCTGAACAATTTATCTGGAAATGGATGGAGCCATTTGGATTATTTTTCTTGATTAATGCTATTTTTAGTTCAGAATTAGGTGATTCTAGTTTACTTGGTTTTCTTTAGAATTTCATTAGTATTTTAGTTTAATTGATAATTTACAATTTTCTGCAATTAAATAAATGAATTACACATAACTTTTGTATAAGTTTGATGGCAACTACCCTGAAATTAAATTATCAAATTTCGTTTCATAATTTTTGACCTTTTGGGTCAAATCTTAATTCATGATTAACTTTCTATTTCCATACAAGTTCAAAAGCCTGTGTCCGAATCTAATTTGAGTGGTTTAAATTTTATTATTTTTTTATTTTGATATATATATATGTATGTATATATATTCAAAAAAATTAAACATGACTTTTCAACTATAAATAGGAACCGATTCTGTTAATTAAAAACTAAAAATAAATAAAATATGAAATGTTCAAACAAGATCCAGATAATTGAAAGGAATATGAAGTCTTTGCTATATCAAGAGCCATTTCCTGCTCGCAATATCACTGATATGAGAAAAATTACACACGCCACAAAACATGAATGGAGATAAGGATTACATGAATGAAGAATGCCATTTTGTTTTGGCTTCTTAATTAAAAAAAAAAAGAAAAAAGAAAACAGCATAAAAAATAAAAGCCTCCACTTCCCACAAGAAGAAATCACTTGGGAGGACTCTCAATTTGTGATTTAAAATTCTCAGGTTTCAGGAAAGAATTATCATCAAACTTTTTTTTTTTGGCCAGAGAATTATAATCAAACTTCATTGATGTGATTGGTGGAAGCATTTGGGAGAGAATAAGTGATTCCAGATTGACCAGAAAGATTAAGCGCCTTGAACTCCCCAGCAGTAAATGACTGATCTTTCTGGAAAACAGGACGCCTCAGTTTCACATAAGCACAGTACTCTATCTGACTCACTTGAGCATCTTTTTTGAATGCAGAAAGAGCCACTCCAACTCCTTCCCCTGCAATTCAGTTACAATTCGTTTACTTTGCAGTTGTACGTACGCTTCGGAAAAAGGAAACAAGCATTATCACTCATCATTAAAGTAAATAAATTAAAAATCACATAAGATAGTTGAGGAGAAACATCGATGTAGTTGAAATTATGAACAAAACTGTCATGGAAACTAGAGGGACTGGAATAGTATCCCTGCTGAAATAGAACTAAAAGGTGCGATTAAAGTTACATTTGTATCGAACACGGTCGTTGTAAGAGCGGAGAAACTACTCATATGGCAAATTTTACTCTCAATCCCGTCGCACAAGTAACTTTTGCAATCGACGTGGGCAATAAACCAAGAGAGTTTTATGCATTTGACCACCAAATTTAGCGTTGACTGTTTTAAACTATCTAAAACAACAATTTTTTTTCAAGCATAATCTGAAAATGCAGTATAAGGTAGGAAAGATAATTCATATTCTTCCAAGAAACCTACGAGGAATGAAAAGGAATAGAAAATCTTGTACTCATAACCAAAAGGTGGCTTCGTTAGATCTGGTGATAGCCTTTTCAAGTCGGATCTTCTCTCAGCGCAAAAGATAAGATCAAAATGCAGTGTTTCAGTAGGTGCAACAGTTCATTATGATTAAGATACAAAGGCACATGCTTTGACCATTAAACCACACTGTTTTGAGTCAGATTGCATATCCCCGCCTCTTTCCTGATCCAACAGCTACAATCTCACATGGGAGAAAAGATCCGATTTGATCCTTCAAAGAAACCAACAGTCTATCAATGTAATAAAGAGAAGCATGTTACCATGTGTAATAAGCAACAAGTTCTCAGTAGGATGTTTGTTTGCAAGGTCCTTGAATACTTGCTCATATCTAGCCCTCGTGCTCGAAGCAGGCTCTTCCCACTTTGGCAACTGCAGTTTATCAACAAATATGGTTTTCATCAGCAAACTACATATTTGAATTAGTATGGAACCCTTGATGGGAGAAAAGTAAGAATAGACGTAGAGACATGGGAAGCCTTGTTTGGTGAACAAACATACAAACTACAACAACTTTTATCTTATTAAGTCGGTTATATAAACTGTATGGTATCATTGTGACATTAATTTTTTTCTTTTATTAATGTTTATCAGGGGCATTTATGACATTTTATATTTATTTTTTTTTTTCCCCATTCCATTCCACGTGCCAAGCGATTTGGTCAAGGGTCTCACATTCCCATCCATATCTTTTTCCCTTTTATTATTATTTTTTTTTTCACTTTTCGCCGCAGCCAACATGTTGTCAAAAAAGAGAGATAACAAGGCTCTCTCTACCTCTTTATACAATCTTTCTGCTTTATCATCCACTGTTCCTGCAGGGAGCATGGCTTCACACTGTGAGATATCTATGCTAAAATTTCCATCTTTTGGAGCCACCCCAGGTCTGATTCCTTTACTGTTCATCATCTCACATAATCCATATTCAACCGATACCTGCACAATTTGGTGCATGTGAGAAATTTCCTGCAACTTTGGCCGAAAAATAAAAATGAAGAAATTTCTTGCAACATAATTGCTACATGACAATTAATCAGAAGTGCTAAGTACATAAACCAGAGATACTTTTTAAGAACTTCTCAGCTAAAACTCTCCAATTCTCCATATTATACAAATAATCTTTCTTTGCATTTGGTAACTCAAAGTTGTCAACAGTAAACCCAGTCTGATGCATCGATCCATTCAAATATTACATATACATAAATCAAACTAATTATTGAGCGTAACATTAGTCACTTTTGTGCTATGTTCTTATTAGAAGATGGAGTATGGTTATCCATTAATCCATTCAAATTCGCTGGAAATCACGAGGTAAAAACCTGCTAAAATCAAAGAATCTGTATTATCTTACGTTCCTCTCTTGCAATCAATTATTTCGGAAAATGCTTGATTATACACTGGAAATTTCGCTTAAACCAAAAAGTCGAAGTTGAAATGAAACAAAATTTCTGATATCTACGAAATCAAATCTCAAAAAGAATCCAACCTTGACTTTAGAAGCATCGATGGATATGGCATGGCTGGAGAGGGGACTGGGATCGTCGTGGACGGCACAGAGAGCAGTGACGACTTCGGAAGCAGTCTGGATGCAGCGAAGGAACGGGGAGACGAAGACCCGATGGATGGGAAACCCGAGAGACTTTCTGAGGGTCCGACCCGTTTCTTGCGCCCGAATCCAACCATCCCGAAACAGGGGTGGGTCCCATGGACGGGACGCAGTGGAGGCCCACAAAGGCTCGAAGTTATCCATGCGCTCACCGTGTCTCATTACGACGACGTTTTGATAGAAATCAGGCGAGCTCATTTTGGAATCCACTTCAACAGAATCTACAGAAACAAAAGGGAAAAAAAGAAAAAGAAAAATGAATGTGTGGGAGTTTCAGACTGAGGAATGAGTGAAGGCTTGAAGGGGTTTTATAGTTTTAGACCACTAAGTAAGAGGGAAGGTACACAAGAACTTCATAGAAAAAGGATGAGATGTTTCCTGGAAAGAAAAAATAAAATAAAATATTGCTTCCTCTTTTACCATATATAAATTACTGTTAGAAGAATTTGATTGTTTTTCTTTATAAATTACTTTATATAAAAATACTGATCATTAGTTATTTTCTTTTAATTTTATCTTTGCACAAATTTCTATGATTAAGGTAAAATATTGCATAACATAGAGAAAATGTTTCTAAAAGATGATGTATCGATACATCATCTTTTTTAATTATGAGGAATAATTTTGCTAATAATAAAGAATATCTTCCACAAAGTATTGAGAATAAATTGTTGATCTTTCTTAATTAAACTGTTATATATATAAGGATTGGAATTCAAACATCTAATTACTTTTTTAAATGGCATAAACCTCTACTAATAACTAATTTTAGTTGGTAAAAATGATATATTTAATAAGGTAAATTGAGACTTTTTCTTTTCTTTTCTACATTATATCAATACATGACTTAACTACTTCTTATTTCTTATTTCTAGTGAAGTAATTAGTAATAAGTAATACTTATGTATTTAGTCATATACTTATATTTAATTAAATAATAACAAGTGGATCTTAATATATTAATAAAATTAATAATAAAAATTTATTATAAAACAAATAATCTATAGAAGATTCATATGTTTTGATTTAAGTGAAACTAAATATATTAAATATATAAAGCTAAGTAAATAAGGTTTTTTCATTAGAAATTAAAAGCGAGCAATAACTTATATATAAGAGTAGGGGGAATATATGATGTGAAGAGTGTGAATTTTTCCAAGATATTATCTAAAAGTGTATAAATATAATTATAAAATAATGTTAAAAAATAGGAAGAAGAAAAATATATCACGTAATTTCACTAGAGATACATCATCCTTATGAGATCAGAGAAAGAATATAGTAATATTCTAGATTAGAAGCATATCAATCGAAAAGTATATATACTAAGTTCAGGCAAACGTTAATATATATTTATCATTATTTTCATATTAATATTTTAAAATAAGAATCAATGTCGTTTTTTTCATTATGCTTTTTTTTTTTCCATTTTTCTTTTCATTCATCTGGATGTTTTCTTTTGTTAACAGTTATTCAATATATGATATTATTTGTTAACTTTAATTTCTTTGTTCACATAAAAGGTCCAATTAAAGGTCGCATAAAAAGGTGAAGGTGGGTCTGAAATGACGAATAAATTCAAAGAATGGTTTGTTGGGTTGGGACCGTACAGTATCCGGAAGAAGCGGGGCAAATATTGTGAACAATCTTATTATTCGTGTAATAATATAATATACATGTAAAAAAGCACACTATATATAAACAATATATGTTGTATAAAAAACAATATAGAGTTTATTATAAATTTTGCACAATTGCGTGGTATTTACTCCAATTTATTTGGAGGGGAAAGAAAAGAGCTTAATACACAACTCTTATAAGATACTCATCCTTATAATCTCAAGCAATATGCCCAATAAAACAATAAAGGGTAAGAATTAAATATTTACTTTTATAGATTTAATATATTTTTATTTAATTAAATTAAGATAAGAAAATTTTAATATGTCAATAATATTAATAATAAGAGTTTATTATAAAATAAATAATCTATAAAAAAATTTATATGTCTTAATTTAATTAAAGAGAAATACTTTAAATATACCAGGTTAAATATATAATTTTGTTCATATAATAAAGCATTACCAATTATACATTTTACCATATTTAAAAAAGGAAGAATATTAGTAAAGAATCTTAAAAGTAATTGAATTTCATAAAAAAACTATTAACAAGTAAGTATTAGTAATTAATAAGTAAAGTTTTCATTTTAACAAGTATCTTATCCATTTAAATTCTCATAAGTCTGATTATATTCTCTGTTTTGAAAAACGTGACAAAAATGGCTTCTTGCTTTTTGGCTTAATGACAGCAAACAATACACGTAATCTTGTATACTGTACTTTTTCCCTCCTAACTTTCCTTTCATCTAACTAACTAAATTAATTTTTTTTTGACCCGCAACTAACTAAATTATTAACACATTAATTCATTATATTATAATATACTTATGTGTTAACTAAATTATTAACACATTAATTCGTTATATTATAATATACTTATATATGTTATAAGTCTTGTATTTTATTTTATTATTTTGGCTATCAAACATATAATTTATGTAACTATACAATTAATAAATATAAAAGGACATAAATTATTTAAAAATAATGAAAGTTCGATGTACCTGGCGCTGGGAGATAAGAAGCCACGGTCCTGATGCTTCGCTGAAACAACACAGTTGACAGAATAAATAAATAAATAGATAATAAAAAAGGCTAATCAACTTGAATTTCCCAAAACACCCTTAGAGATGAGTCGAATTTTCAAAGTGATGCACCTGGTTGTTGGGGATTCCACAGCAACGGAGAAATTCAGAGTGAAAGCGAAACAGACGAAGCATAATGAAGACGACGCAGCAGAGAAGGAGAGATCAAAGATGAAAGAAATACGAAGATCTTTCTGCAAAATATAAGTTAGGAGATCCCTGTGAATAAATCCAAGGGATCGACGTGTACGATAAGAGAAGAGGAGGGTTCAAGGAAGCTTCATAATTGCAATTGTAGCTGTAAAGAGCTATGTAAAGTCGTCATCTGGTGGATGAAATCAAACTTTTGAGTTCTTTATTTCAACCGCAAGTCAATCATTTTGTTGACTTAGCCTTCTTCTGACGCAAACACCTTTTTGAATTTTCAATTATATTTCATGTCAGGCCCAAACAAAAAAAAATCAACCAATCAATCAATTCACTACATTCTATAAATCTTGTAGAAAGAGATTGATTGGTTTAAAATTCCTTACAAGTTATTGGTTACTCTACTTTTATTACTTTTTAATACATCTCTCATTGGGCAATTCAGTGTCGGTCATCCGTCTATAACATATGTGCAGTCCCTCAATTTTTAAATTTCTACTGTAAATTAACCGCAATCTACTAAACCTTTCCTTTTCCATGCTTCTTCATTTCTCCATTTACGCCCCTTCTTATTCAAATTTCAAATTTCAAAATCATATCATCAGATTTGTTGGGTTTTATCTATTATTAAAGGTCTGTTTGATTTTTTTTTGTTTTACATTTAAAAAGTAAAATTTTATTTTTAAAAAATTAAAAATTATTTAAATAAAATATTTGCAGGAAAGCATATTTTAAAAGTGCATTTAAACAATAATTGAAAGTGAATTTCTAAAATATAACTATTTAAAACTTTTGAAAAGTGAATTTAAAAAGTAAGATATTATTTGATCATATTATTTTAAGTTTAATTTTTTATTCTTTTATTTAAAAAATAGTTAATTCATTAAAAATATAATTATTATTTCAATAATAATAATTAAATATTAATTTTTTAGCATTATAAATTGAATAATTAATTATATTAATTTTTATCATTAATGTATAATAAAAATTACAAATCTTCATCACATTTTTTAAAATTACAAATTTAAAAAATATAAATAATCAGATATCAAATTTTTAGTATAATAGATCAAAATTTATGTTATTTAAAATTTTTATCATATTTTTTAAATATTTTAAATATATTATATTTGTGTATTAAAAATTTTAAATCATTATAAATCAATATCCTTGTTATTAATTGTATATTTAAAAATATATTTTACTATTATAAATTAAATAATTTTTAACATATCAAACTGATTTTTAAAAAAATTATATTCAAATATAAATTTTATTATAATAATTAATTTTTATTAAATTAATTTTTATCAAATAAATTTTTACTAAATGAATTTTTGACAACCTGTCAAACGCACGCCAAATAGATTTGCTTTTTGCTTTTCTAGCGTAGAAGAAAACGCAGAGGGCAACTTGTGGGCGTCGCAGAAGAAAGCTATTTCGAAAGCTCAAGTCGTTGGGGAAGACGAAGGGGAAGGAGGTGAATGCCCTAACGAAGGTGAGAAGTGAGAGGGTTCTGATGGTATTCTTTCTTTTGACATTGAAGTGAGAAGAAACATGATTTTCTATATGTGGATTGCTTTCTAAACTGAGTTTCTTACTGAGCAATCTATATTGCCGGTGAAGGTTCCACCTCTTCTACACAAAGTAGTGGCTATATAGCATAGGATTCTCGGTAAGACATTTCTTGATCTCTGTTTTGAATGCGAACCCATGGCCACCTCAGATCTTCTTTGCACTTTCAGTTTTTTATTGGGCTCATTATTGTCTGTTTCGGGTCTGGGTTCCATGTCTTCCATTGCCATCTGTTACGGTGAAGAAGGTTGTGTCTTTTGTGGTCTGAGGTCAGATGGGTCTCATTCTGTGAACTGTTGCAGATCAAACTCAACCATAGTCTATGGAACACCAACTCATTTCCCACTTTTGGGTCCAACCGCAGGGACATGGGGAAGATGTAAATTAGTGGTTAAAATCCAAACCTATAGTTCATTTTATGATGTTGAAGATGTTGAACATGTATTTGCATGCTAATTCTTAATGGGGTTATTTTACTTTTCATTGAATTGTTTTACTGGATCATAGAGTAATGGGCTAAAGTCGAAGATGGCTCAGGAGAGGAACATGGAGAAGAATAAGGCCCCAAATGGTAATATTTCATTGCTTCTCTTTCTCTTTCTCATTAGTGAAGTTGATAATTTTCCTTTCATGTTATGTTCGATTGCTAAGAATTGGTTTGGAAAGATTAACAACCCAAATTGAAACTTCTTACTTTAGATTTTGCAAAATTTGAGATCTTGTGGCTATTCTTTGTAATCTGATATGCTACTTTTATTTTATGTAGGAAGCCAGTTGGATTCAAACAAGAAAGCAATGACCATCTGTGCAGCAATTGACACGCACATTGAGAAAAGGTTGCAATAAAAAAATATTTATATATTTTAGCATATCTCTAATGCCATTAGAAACCTTCGTGAGGTCAAGTTGCTACGGCTTTTAAGACACTCTGATATTCTTGAGATTAGTGTTGAAAAGAACTATAAGAAAAATTGCTTTTTATGTGGCAGCTCATGAACCTGTCCACTTATTAATGATCCCAAAGAACGAGCTCCATACATATGCCCTGCAATGAAAACATTTGAGTTTCTGAATCTTTTCCTCCATCTTTCTCTGTGTCTGTTGCTCTGGATCTTTGAAAGTTCATGTTCTTTTAAGCTTATGAACTGGACCAAGCTTTCTTTCATCTTCTCGTTTATGGAAATTGGGCCAAAATAATCTTTCTCATGGCTTTTAGAATGAAAAAGAAGATTTTTTTTTTCCTGGGATTTGTGACTTAGGATGTTATTTTTGACTAGAGAAACCATTTTTTGGGTTCTTATCATTATTGCCTTCTTTGCTATCTGTTTTTTAAACATCATTTTGTTGTGGAAGTAGAATCATTTTATTATATATATGTGTGTGTGTGCTGTGTTTGTTGTTTTTATTTGAACAAGATCTCATCCTGAGCTATAACGCAACTGTTGTATCCTCCCTTATCAGCTTTCAATAGCCACAACCACAATTCTGAATGGTGCAATTTTTACGAGTGCAACATATGAACATCCCACAATAGTTGCTATGTTTTTGTAAATATATGATATATCAGCTTTCTAGGAACTTTTCATTTCTGTCATTTTACTTAGCCGTGTCTACTGTGTTCAAGTTTGGATTCATTTAGCTTGTATTTGTCCTGCTTCTTACCGCCTGCAGTATCAAACTTAAAACATGGGTTCTCAACTTTTCCTAGGTAATACATGATATATGGAATTTATCCTTGTTGATGTAAAGTATTTCCTTCTATTCATTGTTCTAACACAACAGATATAGGAAAGTTTAATAATACTACATATACCTTTAACGAATTATTACATCCACCGTACAACATGATTTCTAATTACATTTTTTTCTTCTTTAAATTAAAAATGTATTAAAAAAAATCTTTGGTATGTTTAATAAGACAGTTTCATTATAGATCATCTAACAAAAGAGTTAAGTCAGTTTTTTTCTGTCCATTCTTAAAATTAAATATATATCTAAACAAAACTTTACTTTGTTTAACAAGATATTATTATCACGGAGGAGACCACTTAGCGCTTGGATCAACTAATAAGGGGGTTGGTTTAGCTTAATCATTGGTCTTAAGTTCAAGCCCTTGGCATGCAACAATGATTAAATTCTTGGTGAAAGGTATGCCTCCCAAAGAGATGCCCGCAAGTTGTCAATCAGACCAGTCTAGGTCAAAGATTTAGGATGCTGGAGCTGACCCCAAAAAAAAAAAAAAATTACTGAGGGGGAGAAATTGTTGTCAACATTATTTGTGTTTTTTCAACTTTTCGTAAAGAGCTAAAGATTTTGTAAACCAACAAAAATTATTTCCTAATTCCATATCATACGTATATTTTAAAGATAACTAATGTTCCATCACAAGAATGTGCAACTAATATAATATGTCTTAATAATAATTATTATTCTCAGTACACAGATTAATTCTCTTACATTAAGTTATGAGACGAATAATAATATACGATTTTAATGAAAGAAAATTGTGTTGTAACTTTTAAAAAAATACGCTATAAACATGAAATTGAAATAAGAAACATAATTATGTTGAATATACTGCAAATACAAAAAAGTAGATAATTCATATTTTTCACATCAATTTTTTAAATGAATCTTAATGTTCATGAGTTTATTTATTTAACAAAGGAATATTAATATTTTTGTTGAAATATTTTAAAATTTGATGTTTAAGGTACTTCACCCAATTTCTTAAACATAATCTGTGCAATGCACGAGAGCTAATCTAGTTTTTTTCAATTGCTCATAAGTATTTTGTTATTAGTTATGATCTTATACGAAGAAGGTTGGATATTAAATGTAAATATCTCTCTCAATAAAAAAATTAAGTAATAATTTGTCACATTGTGAGAAATTAATCCCTTCTACTAGATTCAACGCTTGTTAGTGACTCAATTGACTTAGTCAAAATTTATCAAAGAATGAGTTGAAAATATAGACAACGTTTACATGTTTAATAATTTCAATGGCAAGTAAAATATTTCTATTTTCAATGTGATTCTTCAATTGTAATTAAAATTTTTGTCTGTAAATATCTGAATTAGATATTTACAATTCATTTTTTTTAAGATTTTGTTAGATATATAATTGTTATTAATTCAAAATTTCAAAACTTGTCTCTCATTTTCTCTTATAAAATTACTAGATTTTCTTAGTTGCTAATTGATTTGATTGAATTATCATTTTTTCTCCTTAAAAAAAAATTCCACTGCTCCACAATGAAATTGAAATTCTGAAAAATCGTGGCTAATTGCTCGAAAGATTGATGTATTTTTTTTTTTAAAAAAATCACTGTTAAGTATTATAAAAGGAGAAAAATGTCTCTTATTGTTTGAGAGGTTTTTTAAAATGGAATGGAGTGAAGTGAGATAGCTAAAAATTATATATTATTGTCTGAATTTTTTTTAAAAGAAAGTGAAATGATTTGGAATATATGGATAGACTTTAAAGCCATCCTTAATCTATTTTTTCTAACCCCTTAATGGAATGATCCAATATATAAGTAACTTTATGGTAAAAGTATCCCAATCCTTCTCACCCTCTCATCCTCTCACACTTCCTCACACCCTACTAATGAGAAATATAAATATATCTAATTCAAATATATTAATTTTATAATAATTTCAAAATAATTATTAAACAAAATTGTCTATTTTTTTGATAAAACTTCTAAATAGTGGAATGTTTCATTTTGTCTCACTCCACCTCATTCTATTCCATTAATAATCACTCATTTCCGTTTATTATATACTTCCATGCATACCCTAAGACCTTATTTGGTATGCAAGACTGAATAAGTAGGACTGAATAATATCAAATTTTTATGTTTGATATGTAAGGTTGCTTTTACTAATTTACAATTAATACCAAACCCAACGAAATCATTGGACTTATCCAATTTGATCACCAAGTTTATAATATTTACAAAATCAGGATCCTAAGTTTTCATATTCAGAAAATATTTAAAGCATCATTTAGGAAGTCAAATCAGAGCAAAATATCATTACAGAAACATGAGATGCCAAAAAAGTTCAAAGCATTGCATTTTAATTGAAAACAAAACAATAATGCAAAGAAGCAGAGGGTGCACCATGGCATAAGCTCAATTTATTGCAGCACACTCCTTGCTAGCACATTGTACAGGATGATAGCATTTGCTGCTGTCATTTGATAGCAGTAGGGATGAATTTTTGATGTATCACATTATTTCATCTGACGTCCAATTGAGGTGAACTAGATATATAGAAAAAGCTCTTTTTGAGATTTAGATAACGTCATAGGTTTTAGTCTCAAAAAATTTCATATAAGGAAGTTGGACATATAAACATGTTTTCTCAACATAAAGGTGTCTAGAACCTTATACATATGCCAAAAGCTGCTTCTAACATCTAGATTACACTCAATAAACTAGACTACCTATACAACATATCATATGCACTCAATCATAGTAATTCCTCATTTTCACTCCTTAACCTTATTAATATCAAAAACAAAAGGGAAGGTTTAACATTGCATTAATCACTTAACTTTATATACAATGGTATGACAATTTGTTTTACACTTGTACTAGTATTTTGATCCTATCAAAGTCATTCAATTACTTTTACAATAATCTTAAAGCCTAAAATACAACCATCTAATCATGCACAAAAACATAGTGCAAGTGTAACAAAGACTACACTCCTTAATTAGCAATATCCCATCTCTTATACAAAATAAATGAGGTTGGAAGGCTTTATAGTAGGAATACACAAATTCCTAAGCCTTTGGAGTCTTTTCCCTATCTATACCTAAGCTAGAGCCTATAAAATGTTGAAAAAAAGTAATAAGTACAACCACTCAGTAACTAAGGTACATCTATACTATGCAGTTACATATTAATTAACAAAAGCATATAAATGAGAGTTGAAAGTTTGTATGTATGTGATCATACATAACATATATCATAATTACAAGGTTTATTTTTTCTCGATTTTTCACAAATCAAATCACAAAACACATTGCCATAATATAGGCAACCTTGTGATAATAGTTCAATCAATAATAATAATGCACATTGTCACAATGACGACAACTATGTGATAATGGCACACACAACCATCATGACTTACCACAAACTTTTCAACCATATGACATATCGGATAAAAATATACATGATCGAACCATTCTTCTATCCTCCTTATACCTTTCGATTGAAACCATGGGCTACTAATCAATTATGGCTCTATCTATGTAAATAGATTACCCAAATTCACTAATTGTGAGGAATGACTTGGTCAAAGATCATTACACTCACTCTCAAACCATAACGTCCCCCATTCTCAAATCCTTGGAGTGTCGTAAGCCTTAAGCTAAGCTCTTTAACAAGCTGGTGGAGTTAGCTAGGTTCAAGTCTCTCAACAAAATAATAGGACAGTCCCAAGATAAAATAATCAACAAAACAATAGGATGGTCCCAGGGCAAAATAATGGGACAAGGCTAGGCTTTGTTCACTAAAAGGAAGTCATATAATTTCATATGAATTTATTTACTCCTCTCTCTAAGCAAACTCCTGCCAAATAGTCATACAAAGTCTCATACTCACCATGCATTTACACATGCTTGTAACTCATGATGACAAACTTATTAGTTTGAATCATTTGATCATTTAAAGCATGTGAGCATCACAATATATTTCACTTAGTCATCTATTACATTTCAAACAATCACAATCACACAATCATTATATTAATTTGTCAATTTCTCATTTCAACACATAATTGTAGTTTGAAATCATTTCAAGAACATACAACTTCACATTTAAAGTCAAATTAAGGTTAATAAAACCTCATATAATTTTGACATACATTGGCAAATCATAAATGTAATTATTTATGTCAAATTATCTCATTTTCAAAAATATATATCAATTAACAAACAACTTCACAAAAGATATTTCCCTTGGTTAAATTAAATCTTTGAGAGGTTAAATGTTTACTCTTTTAATAAATGCTTTCAAAGCTTGTTTCTCAAGTCAATTTGCTGTGCAGACAATTAATTTACAATTAATCAAATCCACAACTATCAACATTGTTATATATACACTTTAAGCTCTCATTTTCGATGCTTAAGTAACCCAAAACCTTTGTCTCTTATATTCAAGCTTGTACATTAAGCTCATTATCATTCATTAACTTCCATTAACACTTCTAGGGTCATTAATGTCATCCAACAACCCTCATAACTCACATTAAGCACATATTTTTTGACATAAATATCTACCCACCACCATTATTGTATTAAAATCTCCATTAATGATTTCAACAAATCAAATAACTTTCATTAACTCTAGTTAAGTCAATGAATTTGGACTCATAACCTATATAGACTAAAAATAATCTCTTATTAACAAACCTAAACCATAAACTAAAAAGAGTGGGTTGGGAAAGAAGAAGAAAAGGTTGGGAAACTTATTCTTGGGGTTTGATGGCTTAGAAAAACCTCTAAGCTTCTTAAGATTGAAGCCCTAGTATATTAAAGTCATGATCTTTGTTTTTCTCCTTCTTCCTCTTCTAACTTTTTAATAGATTTGCATCTTATTTCTACAAGAATCCAGCCATGCGCCATAGCATGCGATACAAAGAGGACTCCCTCATGTTTTCTGCCCCAATGCATCACTACATGTGATATAGTGACCTCTTCCCTTGTTTCCTTTTCTTTTGACGTTCAAGTGACCCAATATTACTTTAGACCTAATTTTATGGCTAAAATAATAATAAAAAACACTTATTAGTTCTCTCTAACCACATACTACATATATCTTACTTAATTACCTTTGTTTAGTTTGATTATTAGAGGTTTAATTTTCAGAATATTACATGGTAGGTGGGAATGACAAATTTTATTCCCACACCCAATCCCATCTAAGTAGAAATACCTAGGACCACCATCTAGTATTAGAAAATCAATAACAGAACTAAAATTTTTTAGACCAAATTGCCCCTTCACACCATGCCCCTTGTCCCAGTCATCTCTCATCTCTACCTCTGTTATCAACTGCAACACTGTGCCCTTTGCCCACAACACTATGCCCTAGGATTGAAAGAAGTAGAGAGATCTTCTTCCCTCCATTGACATCCACAGTAATGGGTTCAAGTTTGAGTTTGCTAGATTTGGGTTCATCTTTCTCCCACCATCAACATCCACAATAAGTTGTGGGTTCGAGTTTGAGTTTATCTTCTTCTAATTGTGGGTTTGTGTTACAAATTGATGGGTTCAAGTTCATCCTCTTCCTCATATAGATCTATTCATCTGCTTCCTCATTACCCTTCGATTGTGTATTTTTTTTTTGCCAACGATAAGAGCATTATAGTATTTTGATTATTTTTTATGGATTATAAAATAAAATTTATAAAAGTATTTGATCCAAATATTACTCAATACCAAGCATACTTTTAAAACTTAAATCTAAGTTCGAACCCTAATTCTAATCTCAGTCCTAGTCCCAATCACAATCTTAATCTATTAAAATTCATACTTGCTTACCAAACAAGGCCTAAGAGTGTGCTGGAGAGTTTAGGGTTGGATGGAATCGAACTAAATGGAACGGAGCAAAGCAAAGTGAAACAATTTTTTTCATTGTTTGATAGTTTTATAATAAGAAAGAATAGTCTTACGTAACTATTGTTTGAAAGTTATTATAAAATAGATGAACCAAAATGGATTAAAACTTTTTTTTTCAATATTAACAATATGAAAATAATAATACCCATTAAATAATTATAATATTTGTTCAATAAATAATAATTAAAATTAAAATTAAAATTAATGACCAGATAAGGTACCCAAGAATTCAGAATAAAAAGAAAAAGCAATTAACAAAACTACTTAAGCAAACATACCTATTATACAAGAGGAAAATGTAGTAGAGTTACAATGTTGAGAGGAGAGAGAGAGAGAAATGGTGAGAGTGAAAGAGATATGGAGAGAGAGATAACTAAAGAATGAAATTATCGAATGAAATTATCATATGTGATTTTTTTATTAGGGTATGAGGTTGGAGTTGATTTTATAAATAAAATAATTATATTATGCCACTCCATCATTTACCTCCCAATTTAGGGACAAATTAAATTGAGCTATGGAAGGGAAACAAGGCCTTTTTTTATCATTCCATCTCTCTTTAAGAAAAAAATTATAAACAATGGCTTATATCTTTTATCGTCCAACTCCGTTTCATTTTCTCCTCAAAAAAATATCTCAAACATAGTGTAAAATTTCAAAAGACTTCTTTATAAATAAGTCATACTCCCTCTTGTTCAAAATCTAAATATGTTCCCAATTAATCTTAATTAAAAATATAAATAACTTAGTATATGTGAAAAAAATTATTTTACTCCTCATATTTCTTGACCTAGATTCTCATGTTTGCAAATTTATGATCTTTTTTACTCATTATAAATTGGAATTAATGAGCAACATATATTTTTATGAAAAGAGAAATTTTATTGGCATGAGAATTATTGTTAAAAGCTGCCTATATTTGAGATAAAAAAAAGAGATGTGTAATGTCCATAATGCCCCTTATTTGAGAGAAGAAAAATGAAGGCAGAAATTACATTCGTCCACACCAATTTATGAATTGCAAACCATTTTCATTCTTCAGCATAATGTTCTCCCACTCTTATCCATTCCCCTAATCCGAAGCTCATTGGAGATTGCTCAATGTACATTGGCGTTGAACAATGTATAGTAATGTAGGAAAGTGAAGCCAACGCATAGAAAGTTGATTTTTTTTTTAAACGAAAATGAATAGCAAATTAAGAACTTATGGTGGCATGTAGTAATTAGTCCGTGATTAAAAGATAGGAAAAATAATATTAAAATTCCAAAATAATAAATCTATAACAATTATACTTTGACAAAATTTTGTAAAAAATTAATTATAATTAATTCACATAGTTATAAATTCAGAAGTTTTAATTGTAAATAATTTATTTAGATATAACTTTTAGTTTGCAGTTGAAAATTCTATTTACAATTTTTAAAATTAATATTTACAACTAATTTTTGAAAAAAATTTATCAGAGATTTAGCTATCATAAATTCTAAATTTTGGGACTTTGTCATTCTATCTAAAAGATAACCTAAATCAAAATACTTTTTTTAAGAAAAAAACCTATCTTTTACAATACAAATATTACTATGGCATATAATAAATAAATTAAATTATTCATTATTTGCGGTGTTGCGAAAATGAGATTGAACGGTTCAACCAGCCTGATCGCCACCTGCTCAATGAAATTGCTTGGTCCAACCACCTGAATTAATTTAGCATTTGAATAGGATTGAACTGAATTAATCTGGGTGGTTTTGAGAGAATTAAATTTAATTCGAAACTCAAAACTGGTTAACTCGGGTTAAACTTAAAAACCAAAAAAAAAAAAAAAAGATGCGAAGGGATGAAGAAAAGTTGCCTTGGCTAGTGTGCACATCAATGCTAAAATCATGGAAAGTGGGAAGTGGGATTACACCAGTTATGATTTCTTTATTTTTATTAAAACATTTGTTAAGATTTAATAAAAAAAATAAAATCTATCTTTTTATTGGATGAAACCGCCCTAATGAAATTTCAAGCCAATAACCAAGGCTTAGGACTAAAGAATAATGATTTTTTACTTATAAATAATTATTGGTTTTCTAAAATCATATTTAATTCAAATAATAGAAATTTTCATATCAAACATAAAAGTTATATTAGAAATTTAACATGATCTTTTTAATTTATTTTATTACCACTTGAAATTTTATTCTTATATAATTATTTTTATATTAACACGTTAATATTTTATTAAAATATATTGATTTAATTATAATCGGTTAGACCATGGTTCAACAATGATTTAACCAATGAACTGTGAATTGGTGCCTCGACTAGTTCAATTTTTAAAACACTAATTATTTGTAAATTGTAATTGCTAGGAAAAAAAATTCTACATATAGGAACACACATCTAAATATTAAATACATGTGACCATCATAACAAATAAGCTCAATTTTTTTTTTGCCAGAACAAATAAGCCTAAATAAAGTGATTTATGTGGAAAAGTTTTAAGCTAAGGCTTAATAAGTATAGTTGTTAGGGAATTAACATATAGAGATTAAAATGATATTTATAATTTGTTGAGAGTCTAAGTTGTAAATATCAAAAACTTAAAATTTGAGAGTATTATCATGTCATGCTCAAACTAATCTGAATATTTGTTGCGTGAAGCTGTAATCACAAGCGACAATCTCATGAGTGCGTGATGATGCCTTTGAGATGTTTATTCAATTTGAAACTTTCTCCAAACCCGGTTTGCCAATTTCATTGGGTCCAGAGAAGAAACAATAAAGTGATAAACCACCAAACACACACAACAAAAACCAAAAAATAAAAATATATGTTGTCCTACGTGCCGGACAAATTCTTCCATTTCAGTGCCACATGTCGAAGTGTTTTTGCAGAAGAACCATCTTCTTTGAGAGCATTAGCAGAAGCATCACTTAGATCCTTCATTCTCCTGCGAATCTCCTTACCTTCTTCACCTTCCATCAAACTCCTCACCAATTTAGCAATCTCTTCCCTTTCCACTATGCCATTTTCGTTAACCTTAAGCCTCAGAGCCACTTTCAATCCATCAGTTAGCAAAACAGCATTCGTCCTCTGTTCTGCAAATAGCGGCCAAGCTATCAGAGGCACTCCTTCTTGTATACTCTCAAGAACTGAGTTCCAACCACAATGACTCAAGAACCCACCGGTTGAACTATGCTTCAGGATTTGAATCTGTGGTGCCCAATAAGGAATTACAAAACCTTTCTCTTTTGTTCTCTCCAAAAACCCTTCTGGCAAAAAATCTAAAGGATTTTCATCATTTGAATTATCATCAAGGTAAGCAGCACTAGCAACTTTACTTGGAGATCTCACAACCCATAAGAATTTTTCACCACTTAGTTCTAACCCTAAAGCTAGTTCATTAACTTGTTCTTGAGTCAGTGTCCCTCCGCTCCCAAATGAAACATAAAGAACTGATCTGGCTCGTTGATTGTTCAGCCAGCTTAAACAGTCCGACCCGTTTTGATCCTTGCCCGACCCGCTATGTAGAACGGGCCCAACCGGATGTATCATCGGCTTCTTCTTCTCTTTCATTTCTTCTTGTAAGGCTTTTATTGTCTCTGTCTCTAACTCTGTAAAACTATTGACCAGAACTCCATCTGCAAGACTGAATCTTCTGGAACGTTCGAGAAATTGCTTGTAAACCAGGCTGCTTCGATCTTGAACAGAGTCTGTGAGATCTCTGCCATGAACTGGTACACAACCTGGCATCTTTATAGGATCTTGAAAGTCTCTGAACTCAGAATTAGAAACAATCTCTTCCAACTTGGGGATATAAAAATAGACAGATAAAACCATAGCAGATAAAGGGAAGTACACGTAAGACAAGATATTGAGTTCTGAACCAATTTCTAGAACTTCCATGGCGAAAACATCAGCAACTAAAGCTACAAGGCCATGATTACTAGAACTCATCAAGGACTTTAATGCTTCGCGAATGAAGGGTAGTGAGAGAGTCACAGTACGTTGAACTTGGAGGCCAGGATGATTATTGTCTTGATCTTGATCAGTTATATTGTGGTGGGGTACTGGAGGGAGAAAGATAGGGTTTATGTTTGAAGGAAGAGTTTGAAGGTAGGATGTGGAGGAAGAAGAAGAAGAGCCTGCAAGTGAGGGAATGATGCAGGTGACATGAAAATCTGAGTGGAGATGAAGGAGTCGCTTGGAGAACTCAATGATGGGGACGAGATGGCTGAACCCAGCACTGGGAATCACGGCTATGTGAGTTGTTGTTGCTTTCGCCATGGAAATGAATGATTAGCTTTCTGGTTGTTCTTGATAAGGTAATTGTAATGGGACGATGGATTGTGAACTTATTTGTGTGTGGCAGGAGAAAAAGGGTTTGACTTTAACTTCTGATCAACATATTCCTGAAGTCCATCCAAATGACGTAAGGAGAAACGTAAAGCTCCTCATGTTTGATTGAGTAAAAAATACAGCTCTTATAATTGCAGTATTAATAATTATATACCCAATTATAAAATAATTTTAAAAATATTTTATCACACTAAAATATAAAATAATTTTTTTAAAAAATAAAATTTAATTAATAATATTTTTTTAATATTACTTTTCATATAGAGGAAAAATTAAAATAATTATAGTGTACTAATTAAGTGTGTAAATTATTTAAAATTATATTAAATAAAGAGTGTTTTTAGAAGTTTATATTTTTATTATAAAAAAAGTTTGTAAAATGTTATTATCCACCTTTACAGGTATGTGTAATCTTGTATAAAATTATCATATAATTTAAGATAAATGAGAATCATGATTGCACTAATTGAGATTTAATATAATTTTATTTTTGTATTTTTAATACATTATTATTTTAATACATAGAAAATTTAAAATAAAAATAATATATTATAATTGTTAGCATAAAGTTAGTCATTTAATTGAGTGCATATTATAGATGGAAAAATAAAATAAAAGAAAAAAGAATTAAAAGCTTAATTGGGCACTGAACTAGTACGTGCGTGCCAAACTTGACTCCGACTTTGCATATAATAAGTGAAAATAGCGTAGTGGAGTTCGATTTGACTTCCATTTCCTAATCAATATCACGTTTGAGAGCCTCTCCAATTACATGTGTTAAATCCATTCCCTCCCAGCGGCTGTCTCACATAATATAACCACAATCATTTAATTTAATTAAATGACGATTAAATATTTTGTGATATGACATTAAAAAATACCAAATTTCAATTTTTTCTATTATAATGATTGTTTTGAATTTTTAAGAAAAAATATATCTTGATAATTTTTAAAAGTAGATGGAATTCAATTATTACAATTGAAATATTAATTGAGTAAATGGATTTAGGCACTCATTGACACTACTAAAAAAAATTGAAATTAGTGATGGACAAATCCATCATTAATCAGCAAAATCCGTTGCTAATTTTAGCTTTAATAATAGATAGTTTGTCACAAATGTGGTGTCACTAATTTTGTGACAGACATGAATCCATCACTAATTTAATTATATAAAATATTTGTCACTAATTAATAAATGTCTGTCACTAATTTATTTTATAATGAAAAATTTTTTTGAGTCCAAATACTATCATGTCACCTCCCCATGCCACGTCTCAAGTACACATCATCTGCATCACCTACCACATCATCGTCACTTGGTTCTCCATGCCATGTCACCACCATGTGAACAATTTATTTTAGTTCTCTTTGCTTATAACATTACCTAGTCTCAAACTTAAAACTTCCATGTTTTCATTTGCACTTTTTTCCAGTTGAGTTGTAATAATTTTTCATGCAAAATTTAATATATATTATTTAATTAAACACTTATATTTAACTTAATATATTTAATATATTATTATTTAGATATGTTGATAATATATATTAATTTATATACACACACTAACACATATAAATATATAAATTAGTATATATTATTGGTTAATAAATATATTATTTAATATCAATAAATAATTTATGAAAATAAATATTTTTTATATCATTTTATATTATCTATGTTGTAATTAAATTATTTTTATAGTATAAATATTTTATTTTTATATTTAAATTTAAAAAATAAAATAAAAATATTTTTTATTTTTTAATATAATTTTATATTATATATTTTACTTATAATAAGAGAAAAAATTATTTATGTAATTATTTAATATGATAATTATTAAGATTTTATTCATTTAATTCTCTCCATGTATATTATAAATTTTTTATTTTTATATAATATTTAAGCACATTTTAGTAATTTTTTAATTAAAAATATCCTTCACTAATATGTCATTAATATAAAGATTTAAGGATGGCAATTAGTGAAAAATTTAAATCTGTTATTAAATTTATAAAATTTAATCAAAAGGTGACAATATCATATATCTATCATTAATCCACCACTAATTTATGTAATTAATGATAGATTTTAGTTCATTACAAAATTTTTGTCACTAATACCTATAATTAGTGATGAATTAGAGATTCGTCACTAAATATCTATCATTGATTTTAATTTTTCTAATAGTAGAAATCCAAATTTCAATTACATACATTCACCCTGGCCCATGCATCGGCATATCTCTATTTGAAAGGAAAGGCACTCACCTTCTATAACCCATTTTAGGTTCAAGCACGCATCCTTCTTATAATATGGGAGAACAATTGGTGCCATTATGGCAGTTGCATGGGTCATTGGCATGTATGATCGATACTGAATTTCTATATAGGACAGTGTGGTTAAATAATATATTTCTTGAAAATAATTGAATTTCACACTTTGAGAGAATAAATACTATTATTTATTTTAACGTCAATTTAGTTTTGTTGGCCAATAATCAGTAGTCAATATTATTATTTACTTTGAAGATTAACCGAAATACCACATTCCATTGCGATCCTCTCTACTTTTGTATCTCCACTTTTTCACTTCCCATTCTAACCCATATATTAAACTTAAATGGTTGAGATTTAATAACTTATTACTTGATACTATAATAATAATAATAATAATTTTATAAAACATTAAATTTTAATTGTTTAAATTTATTTATTTATTTTGATTTCTCATAACTATCCTCTTATTGAAAATAATACTGTTCGAGATATTATTGAGTATTAAATGTGACTTTCTTAATAGGATTTACATATTATTCAGTTATGTCGTTATTAACTAACCTGTTCCATTAGTTTCAAAGCCCTCTCCGTTGTTCAAATTTAATCCAATGGTTCGAAGGGAAGTACAGAAGAAATGGATAAAATCGAGCCGAAAATCGAGCCCAAAATGACATGGTTGCTTTTTCAAACTAACAAGGGCCCAAATTTAAGTTCATAAAATCAAATGCCATAGGCCCAAACAACGACTCAAAAATATTCAAATACTTGTTGCATAGCATTTAAAGAGGGCTTTAATTATTTTTAGTCAAGGTTTTAAAAGCTCAATCAGTTAGTTTAATTGTAATCCGGTCACCAGATTCGGTCCAATTGATACCTATAGATCAGCAGATAATCAAACCGATCGAGAACCAATAAATCAGTTAAAGAATTAGAAAAAGTGTCAGGTTAAGTGGTTCATCCAACACTATTTATTTTTTTCTCTCCCCAACAGAGTGGGAAAATGGGTGGGAGGCCTTATCCCCGTAAGAGCTAAGGCCTTTGAGCCTGATTTCTCAAAAAATAATTGATTTTAGAAGCTTCACATTTGAAGGATTTATAAATATAATTTATTTTTTAAAAAATTTAAAAAATTCAATAAATAAATAAATACAAATAGAAATATAGAATCTTAATCAATCTTATCAAATTTAATAAATATAAAAACTTGTGTATTATAGAGTACAACATTAATCAAAATTAAGAAAGACCTTATAGAGTAATCATGTTTAAGAATTAATAAAAAAATCTGTCAATATTGTGTTAAAAATAAATAACAAAAAAGCCAACATCAATTATTTTGATAACATAACACTTGAAAATTCATCAATTTTTTGAGGAATAAGACTTGAAGGATCACCCAAACTCGAGCTCTTTTTTCAAAACTTATCAATCCCGAGTCTAGAAGCCTAATTTTTCAAAAAAAACTATCAATTTTTAAAATTTAAACTCTTATTTAAACAAATCCTCCAAATTCAATCTAAACGAGTCCACTACCTTATCTAAACAAGTCCTTCCTTATCTAAACAAGTCCTTCAGAAAAAAGAAAAGAAGGTTAGAGTTAACGCCTCGGCTACATTTCTTCAGTGATTGAATGTATCCAGAGAAAAGCTTTTAAAGCGTTGAAAGTTGGCAACAGTAATGTTCCATTTCGAGAGCACAAAATTTTATATATGGTTTACCATCATTTTCTTTTCTTATTTTCTTCTGCACACACTTTGATGTTAATGGTTCGTATTCAAATTTCCCAAGATCAATTGAATCTTAGGAAAATGCGTTCCAGCTGGTACTTCCCATTTTAGCTTCTAGAAAATTGGCCGCCTTGAACCTCAAGTTGTTTGAAAATAGAAAAGTATGCAGATTAATTAAGTTACTGATTTTCTTTCATTCCAAGGGTTTTCATAAAGTAAAAGAAGATAAAGAAAAGGACATAAAATCAGATACCTAATCTGGTGTCAAATATATTTTTTGTCCATAATTAATAGGAAAAATTACTCTAAGGTTCCATGAAAGCATTTAAAATACGTTGAGGTCTCATAAATTTAAGAAATAGCTGTCAAATTCCTAGGGACTTAAGGGTGAATAAATCTAAAATAAAATTACCCATTTACCCTCTAGCATGTCTCACAAAACATATGATTAGCAATATTGAATATTGCTGCATATCCATAATTGTCAATCACAGTAGGGTAATTTTCATTTTCTCATATCATGATTATTGGCTGTAAATGATTGTGTAAATTACCAATTGATAGCAACATATCCATTATTGGTTGGGTAAACAATTTCTTGTGCGTTAATGATTTCATTATTATTTAAGAGTAGGATAATGCTTTCTGGGTATACCCACGATCATTCAATTTGCATAACTAATATATGGAATAATTTGGTGCAACACTGATACGTTGACAAATATTTAATATGAATAACTCTACATGTTGTCAAAAAACTCAATCAAATCATATACGGATTAAGCTTTTGAGTTTGTTGACAATATGGGAACATGGGATGATGAAAAATTATCATTAAGGGTTTAATCCCAGCTAAAGTTGTGTTTAAAATGATTTTAGAATGGTTATAAGGTTAACACAACTCATAAAAAGTGAAAGAAACTAATATTGAATGAGTTTTTAAAGAGTTTGTAATCATACACGAAGAACATAGCATGAAAAATAATGTTTATGCA